GTTTCCTCGCAGCCTGCCTGGATGAGGGCCTGGGCATAGGACAGGGGGCGGTCGGAGCGTTTCCGCTTGCTCCAGCCGATGCACCGTGTGAGGAACTGGCGGTGGGTCCCATTGAGCTTCGTGTAGTGCTCCGCTGTTAGGCTCCACGAGGCGCACCCATACAGGAGAGTCTCCACCACTTCAGCCTGGAGAAGCCGGATCTTGAGCTGGCGGTCGGCCCGTCGCCTGTCGTACATCGAAGCACTGTTCCGGCGGTAGCACTAATGTGTGTGCTACTCGTGAGGATCCTCGGCCGATGAAGTGGTGTGCGGGGACGTTTACCATACGTTTGGGGTCCCTTCGGGGCTCGTGAGTACCTGTTTACATGCATGCGAGGATTTAATTTATATATTATCTGGGGAAGTAGACTAGCGTTTTTGGCGTCAGTGTGGCACGTGCAACGGAAGGCGATGCGACTATTTCATGTGTCGAGGAGGTAAGCTATATGTATGGCAATCATGGGGCAATGCCACGAAATATAGTGAAGATGGTTTTAGACTATTGGTTTCCCGAACTTTCTCGAGGTTACCTGGCCTTGTCACGGCTTCTTAGCCGACCAAGCGCTGGTGGCATGCTTGCATCGAGGGCAAGGTGGGCATTCACGCCCTTATCACACGATTGCCGGCTTTCAGATAGAGGTCGTTGTTGCATGCCTGAAATGGTTCACATCTGCAAAGAAACCAAGGAAGGTGGCTTGGAAACAACTAAATAAACTCTTTGAGCCGACCATTTGTACGACTATGGAGGAGCTCATCATGTACGACTATGGAGCTCATCATGTACGACGATGGCCTGATCGAGATGTTTTTCCTGTATATGGGAAGACGTGCACGGTGCACTTCTCAGTTGATGCTAAGGACATTTTTAACCATAAGACATTTTCCAACGATTGGCGTCATCATCCACGGGCCGGTTCACGACAATGTTCATACGGCGGTCTGCGAATGGAGTACGTTTGCTGCCCCCAACATAGTCTAATGTTTTTTACTTGGTACTTGATTTCAATGAAGTACAGTAAATCGGGGTGCCTACCGTAGCATACCGCCGCATACATGTACGGCAAGTATAATATGTGTGTCTTCCTGTGCGAGGAACCATGAGCAATGCACGTGTATATTTGTTTATTGTGATGAGAACGAAGGTACTGCTGTACATATGTGTAGACTTCTAGGCAGTCGCTCGCTTCTCTGTTTTTGTCGTCCATACGTTGTTGACGACGGCCGCTCGCCGTGTATTCGAACCCCCCATAATCTACAGCGCTGTTGTGCCTCTCCCATTCAGATGTATGTGGAGAGCGCCGTGATTCGGAAATTCTCTGTGGGGATTGGCTTCTTGATCTCTGTGTACGCATCACGCTTAGGTAGGTTCTTGCACGATGACGGCAGTGAAACAACTTTTATCTCATTCGAACCAACAACAAAGTAATCGCACCCTCTGGTGGTGGGTGTAAAGTAAACCTCAAAATGCATTGTGGAGCTTGTCTATGAAGTCTACATAGCATACCCCCGATCAAACAGCAAAGATAGACGGGAACCGTGGTTGTTGAGGCGTGCGGCTGATGAGTGGGCAAACATTTCACCTCGTCCTGTGTAGTTGAAGGTTTCGGCCCGTCCCGTCCCGTCGGTAGTGTCGAAAAAAAAAAAAAAAAAATCATGAAAC